TTTGGGCCACAGACCTGGACTTAGCCTAGTGAAAACTACAGATCATGCATGAGGATTCCAAAGCAACACACTTTGTATCTGTTTAAACACTTTACTTGTCCTCAGAACTGTCATGAGTGCCTTGTGATCACTAAATACCATTCGTCTTTTCAATACTTTCTGAAATAGCCAAGTACTCCAATTTTATGGCTGTGGGAGCTAAGCAACAAGAATCCTATGCCAAGACTAGTCACTTACTGTTTTTTAATATTGGACAAGTCACAGATTTTCAATATCCATAGAGCAAATAGCACTTCCTAATATTTTCAGGTGAAGCAAGACTGTGGAAAACAGCAAACTGTTAAAAGTACACTGAAGCAATTTCATTCCTCTATTTATCCTCCCCTTAGGCAACAATAGGCTTGAGGAGAACCCTGCAAATTTGCCTTTGTGGGTTTTTTTGGGCGTTTGTTTAGCTCTTCAAAACTCACAAAAATCCGATAATTTAAACATGTCTATCATCATCTCACTTCTTAGGAAAAAGACAACACGGCACATCTAAGCTTATGTGGCAATATGCTCAATTGCTCTCCTCATGGGAGTGTGGCCAATGGGAGAGCTTTCCCCTTAAGCTGGTCCCAAAGGCATCTCCCTGCTCACATGCTTATACTTGGGGCCCTGCTTTGTTGATGAAGAGGTCCATTTACAGCACCCCAGACTCTTTGGTTGCCAATCCTGGTCACCACTTCCTTTTACAACCATTTCTCTCACTCCTGTAATTCCATTAGATCATCTACATCTGCGCCCTAGATAGAGGGTTGCGAGGGGCACAAGATCATCAGTATCCTGAAGACATAAAGAATGTCGCTTAACCTCCATCCCTTACATTATCATCCACAAGAATCTGAAATTTCTATCTAAGAGAATATGAAAATGCTAAAGATGACCATATTGCCTATAAAAAGGATAGTTCTTTTTTTTATATATAACATTATTATAATCCACTATTATGGATATAGACTGTAACATAGTTAACTTGTATTACTAACTTCTTAGAAGTGATTTAAGTTTTTAAGCATATTCCACTTAATATAACAAAGCAAAGTAAGTAAAACTGCAAAAATCAGAGTGATTTTTGAAATACTTTAATTTGTATTGCATTTACCTTTGAAGAATAAATGAACTCATTCTAAAATAAGAGACTGGTGAAACCTGTCTCTCATTTACATATTTTCAGTTTAACACTGTAACCAGATAATCTGAAAAACGGCACAAGAAATAAATTATATCAATCTATGGTTTTGTTAGCCCAAATATAGTATTCTAGAGAAAGTTTTATTTATAACATATATATTTTATACATGAAGAAATATTGTTGTAAGCTCCTTTCCTCAACCCTGTGACAACTGGTGATCTGTAACTTCCGTAGAGGCTATTTCACTTTCTAGGAACTGTTTATATTGAAAATAAAGAGATATATTATTGCTCCTCCTTTTGCAGTGATATTTCGTTTTCCTGCAAGTATAACAATCACATATATATTTAAAGGAGTTAATAAAATAATAATTCACTAGAAAGATTTGAAGACTTAACTTTTCACTAAAGCACCAACAGAGAAAGATGTGATTTAAGCTGGTAAACAAAAAAGAAATATTTCTGAAACTATTTAAGCCTTGTCAATGACATTTTGAAACGTATCAGTCTTTAGATTTTGTATACTAGCTTTCTCAGTGACAGTGTCTGTATAGTCTGGAGAAGTGTTTTTGAATCTTTCCAGCAATCAATTGATCCTGACCAATAACTTTGTTGAATTTCTACCATTCTTCATCTCTAGAGCAGAGGACCATGCCAGAAAACTGTAATGGAAGTTGGTATTCAGTATTGTCTACCACCACTTTGATTATGTCCTTTTTTTCTAGAGGTAAGCTGAACGTTTTGGTAATACCTCCCATACTCTAAATTTCATTGTTGTCAATTATTGATTGGAAATGAAGCACCAAGACTTGTCTGGATTAACCAGTCTCAGCTCGCTTAGTCTTTCCTCATACAATAGATGCTCCAGTTCCTTAATCATCTCTGTTGCTCTACGCGGAACCCTCTCTAGAAGCTCAGTGTCCTTCTGGGGATCCTGGAACTGCTCACAGTACTCCAGGTGCGGCCTCACCAGAGCTGAGCAGAGGGGCAGGATCACCTCCCTTGCCCTGCTGGCAACGCTCCTCCTGATGCAGGCCAGGATCCCATTGGCCTTCTTGGCCATAAGGGCACATTGCTAACTCACGGTTAACTTGTCAATCAGGACTCCCAAATCCCTCTCCACAGAGCTGCTTTCCAGCAGGTCAACCCCTAATCTGTACTGGTGCCTGGGGTTATTCCTCCCCAGATGCAGGACCCTGTTGAACCCCAGGAGATTCCTCTCTGCCCAGCTCTCCATCCTGTCCAGGTCCCTCTGAATGGCAGCAGAGCCCTTGGGAGTGTCAGCCACTCCTCACAGTTTGGTGTCATTCCCAAACTTGCTGAGGGTGCAGTCTGTGCCCTTGTCCAAGTCACTGATGAACAAGTCATTGATGAACAAGAGCACCGGGCCCAGTACTGTTCCTTGGGGTCACTACTAGCCACAGGCCTCCAACTAGACTTGGCCCCATTTATCACCACCCTCTGAGCTCTGCAATTCTCAATCCACTCATACACTTTCTGGAAAAAGTAAAATCCTGGCATCTTGATCATCTTGAGCTCCATTTTTTGCTTTCCTTCGACTGATGACATGACGAAAATACCATCTGGCCACAGTGACAGCCACATTACTTCAATCACAGATAAATCACACCAAATTTTGTATCAGACAAATGCATTTCACCCACAGAAGAAATAAAATTTGTCTGAATAAATGTATTCTGAGTAACTTTAAAGAAAAAATGCATAAAAGCAAACTAAAATACATCTGAAATATACGCCCATGCCTTTAACTGAAAAGATCAATGCAATCTCAAAAATGAAATCATTACAATTAAAATCAAATAAATCCATTTTCAAAACAGCAATCAAATCATTCTAAAATAAACAGGAATGGTATTGATGAATAAAACTGGACTGAAACAGGTCTCTCCTAAGAAAAGACAAAAGCGCGAGCAGTCAGAGTTCTGTTGGCTGTTTCTATAAAGTTGTCAGTTCACAAAGACAATAAAATGACTGAGCATTCAAAACACATTTAACCTTCAACATATTCCAAGAGTTGGCCATATATAAGAAAACTAATCATATAGCTAACTAGAAGAGAAAATAATAGCTGCAAAACTATGGAGATATCTTAGCTTCTCATATATATGGTGGATTTGGAAAGAAAAAGTTGGGAAAATGAAAACTGCTGCCACGGAGATTCCTGGGAGTTATGCTGCTAATACCACTGGAGCCACAGTATGCACAGAACCTCTCTTTCTGCCAAATGCAATCTTACAGCCTTATAGAATCATAGAATCATAGAATGCTTAGGGTTGGAAGGGACCTCTAGAGATCATCTAGTCCAACCCCCCTGCATACGCAGGGACACCTAGAGCACGTGGCACAGGACTGCGTCCAAACGGGTTTTGAAGATCTCCAGAGAAGGAGACTCCACAACCTCTCTGGGCAGCCTGTTCCAGTGCTCCGTCACCCTCACTGTTAAGAAATTTTTCCTTAAGTTCCTGTGGAATTTTTGATGTTTCAGTTTCCGGCCATTTCCTCTAGTCCTATCAGTGGTCACCACTGAAAAGAGACCATCCCCATCCTCTGCACTCCCTCCCTTGAGGTATTTATATACACTGATTAGATCTTATCTGAAGTTACTTTTAAAGGAAACATCACCTACTAACTTGAGTGTTTTCCATGAGAAATTAAGGTATTTATTCTAACCTTCCTGCATTACAGGAAGAAAAAAATCATTAATTTTGCTAGTAAAAAGTACAGATAGAGTTTTCTATCTATCTTCAACAGCCAGCAAGAGAACACAAATCAACAGTTTTGTCATGCATTCATATTTTATAACTTAAGATACAAGACCCTGGGTACCACAAATGCCTTGTCAAATTTGCTGTTTCTTTTGGCAGAGGTTAAAGATGATTGCTGGAGGATTACACTTTTATAGGTGCTTGGTGAAAGATATACTATTCTCTCTACACTTATTCACAAGAATAATCACTGGTCATTTTGAAGGCCATACCTATAAACTCAGATGCATGTAAATCCCTGCCAGTCACAGCCTACATTTCAGGTGTAGCATGCCATTGTTTAAAAGGTAGCAGTATAAATTCCACTAAATGAAAGGAATTGGTAAAATGAACTGGCATCACTTTTTCATATAATAATGTAGAGAATAAAATGCTGAATATACGTGTGTTAATTTTATAGTAAAAAATCTTTGTAGCATTTTAATGTGTTAAGCTTATGACTTAGAGATGATGCTACCTCAATACAATACAGACAAGTACCTGATTCATGTATCATACAATGGCAATCAGTGACTTTAAAGAAAAAAAAGAAAAAACAGAAAAATTATGAATTTAAGAACTGTATTTAATAACTTTAATAACTGTATTTGTATCTTGTTGAAAAAAATATCTTACTTCTTGTGGAGAGAAGTATCTTACTAGGCTCATGGAGAGAGGGAACAGATATAATTTCCTTTGTAAATTTTACACACATTCACAATTTATATTACATACAACATACAATAGATTAATACATTGTCAGATATCAAGTATTTAGAATTGAATGCATGCTATTTGACTTTGCCTCATTATCACTAGGCTCACATATAGAATTAGAAAAAATAAAAAACACACTGCATAAATTGGATTGTGACTGAGAAGAAATGTAAAATGGAAATGAAACATTTTCTTGAATGGTTGATCTTTTCATCCCTCCATATATTGAAAGAGGTTTGCTATTCTTCTAAGTTTGTTTATTGGAGAACATCATTGTAAAAACTTAACTTCCTTGTCCAATATGACTAATTTTTTTGTGTGCAATACACAAGAGAAAGATCTTACCTTATTGTGACAGGGGTAAGTACACCTTTGCTAATGGACTGATTGATGGATACAGTCAGAATATTCTGAGATTGTCCACAGCTGAATCGAACTGTTGGTCTGCCTTCCACTAAATACAGATGAAGAAACTGTTCTCCAAAATTCTTTTCACCAGCTTTGAAAAGATAAAAAGACACTTATATTTATGCTTTCAAAAGTGTACAACATCAACCACAACATCTATATCACATTGAGGATAATCCTACCATATAATAGAACATTGACTGAGTGACCGTGAGAATACAATTAAACTTTGTATCAATAGCTGATAACAGGTTCAAGTAAAAGAAAAAAAGATCAAGACTTTTATACTACTTCAGTCGTGCAATCCTTACCAATATTTTCAAAACTACTTTGTTCTGACATTTTTAAATATAAATGTTCTCAGATCTTGCTGATGATGTAAAGATTAGGGTCAAAACAAGGTAACAGCAGAAAATACTACCAATCAGCTGGTAACATCTGCATGATGCAGATGAATATACATACTCAAAATAATCAGACAAAATATCATTATTAGGAAAGTGTGTGTAAGTATATCTGTCTTTGTATTAAACCAAATGTTTACAATCTATGAAATTATGCACAAGCCAACTTTTCTTAGGCTAGTTTCTTTGCCTCTCATATATGTAGTTATATTCTATAAATGATTTATATTCTATCTTTTTACTCATGTTTTTAACAATATATCTACTCTTCCGGCAGATTCTATATCAACAATCATTTAGCCCTTAGTATTTGTGTGTCTCAACCAACCAATGACAAAATCCTTCTTAATAAAGGTATTAAATGTGAAAATGTGTAATATGGTAATGCTGTAATTTCCAGTAATATGGTGCAATTAAGTAAAAAGACATGCCCAGCACAGTTAATTCTTCTCATTTTCTGTTCATTAGTTAGCCTATAAGTAATAAAATTTTTAATGAAAGCAGCTGTTTTCCTCCATGTCTACAAGTAACAAGTTAAACTTGTTTTCTTTATATATGCAAATGTGTATATATATATATGTGTGTATATATATAAAAACTTTTTTCTCTTTTTATAGGTATTTCTATATACATAGGGATGTGAACAAATGGAGAAGGCATATGTCTCCTTTTCTGATCCTCACTGGTTCGTGTAGTTGACAAAGATATATACAAGATTGAATCCTTCTATGCTTTTCCTTAGATATCTGACTTCAGAATACTTTAAAGGCATTTTCTGACTCCAATCCATTTGTACTTCAAAACCATCTTGTTTGAGCCTTCCTAAGTTATTTAAGTGGTCGCTAACTATCTGACAGAGAAACAGATCAAACTTCACACCTAGTAAAATCAGGTATGATTATAAAATGAATTATCTGAAAGTGGGCTAAGTTAAAAAAATCAAAATGAGTAATTATTTTATATTATTAGAAAATAAACTATTTTATTTTTTTATTAGATTATTATTCTAAAATTATTTTTAGCAGTAAAATACACCCAAAAGACGAAGATCATTGTGATTTTCCTTCTGTTTTTTTAAATGCTTTTGTAAAAGACAGGATTTTTGCCTTATCAAAGTGTGAAACTCAATGTAACCTTCACTGTAGAGCGACTGTTAACATCAATATATTAATAGACTATGAAAACATTGGGAATGTTAATCCTCTTTTTACAATTCTGTAGGTCTTGCGTCTGGCGAGCCCACTAGACTCAAGGGAACTTTCTGCTGACAGTCCAGTTCTCAGCTGTTTGATAGTAGCACAGCTTCAAAGAACAAGAAACAGAGGCAGGAGTTACACTGCTATTAAAGAGGGGATAGCTGACAGCAGCAGCTTCTCTTTTGAAGTCATTAGAAGGGAAGAAGAAAGCGAGCAAGCAGCAAAGAGGGATGAAGAAAGAACACAGGGAGCGTATGAACTCACAAAGTATTGTATGTTTACTTGACAGAATTACAGCAGAGCTTGGCATCTGCGTACAGAACTAATGAATTAAAGAATTCTGGAAAGCCTCTGTAGAATCAGTTTTATTTTATAAAAACTCATATTACCCATACACAAATCTCTGGAGAAATTTTTCTTTTACACAGGAGTGTAACACTGGATTTTACATTTGTGCAAAATTGTGTGTTAATATTGATAAAGAAAGAAACTCATAGCAGTCTTTTCCATCCCTTCAGAAGAAGGGATCTAATTGTTACAAGAGAGAATATTCACATAAGAAAGCAGAAACAATGGAAAGGAATTGGTGCTATAGAAAAGGGAAGAAAGTCTAGGGAAAACTAAGTAGGAATGTAAAGAAAAGGTGTGATTAATACAAAACACGGTAGCACAATTCTGCGAGATAAATTGTCCACATGCTCTCCCTGCTTTGGGTGTTTCTGTTCAACAGCCAGGACAAGATACAGATTTTTCTTCACCTTAGAAGAAACCTAACCTTAGAAGAACACCTACTGGTGTGGAATCTTGTGCATCAGGTGAAGTCCATTTTTAGGGATAACAGGAGGAATAAGAAGAAAGTAACTGTGAGCCAGCAAAGAAGTTAAGCGTCAGTGTCTTGGAAAATTAGGTTACTAGCTGCAGCAAGGTAACCCAGCAACCCAGATGATAACTTACTAATAGGGCAACCCTTTGTTCTCATTGAGACAGCAGTTTGAAGCCAAATCAGAGTGAAATAGATTTTAATTAACATGTAGTAATTACAGTTTGAGCTAGATGCCTCCAGAGGGGCCCTGTTGGAACAAATCCCTGGGTACTTACATCCTTCCAGTCAGGGATCCACCCCACAGTCCCGAACCAATCATAGTATTAGAGTTCAGGGTCTTTCAGATCCAAGTTGGTCCTCCCATAGTCTCCAGGTGTGTTCTTTATTTTTTATCCCATTTCTGCATAGTTGTCTTGCATAGCTCTTTTACACCCTTATCTTGTCTCTGGGAACCAGTCTTTGTGGTTATTTTTTCCTGCATAGTTGTCTGACTCTTCTACTTCCTTATCCTGTACTCTGGAACCAGTCTCATGGTTCCTTTGTTTCTTTCTTCTGTCTCCTAGGTTAAAGTCCGTCTCCCCACTGCTGCTTATTAATGCTAAACCGCTTAATTCTCCCTACCACAACTATGAAGACTGAACAAGAAAACATTTAAATGATAAAATAGTAAAAATATTACAATAACCCTCCTACTAACTTGTGGGATAGGTTCCTAGGATATGTCGGAGCTCTGGGTCAGACTGAGAACCGAACATGTCCAACTGCATCCTGACTTCCCTTGGCCTTTTTCTCCAGGTGCATCAAGTGGCAAGACCAGAGCTGTGACATATTTCGTGGAGGTCTCTGATACAAATAATTAGAAAAACAAATGCATGATTCTCCACTAATACTACTCTATCTTTCCAGAATGTGCAAAGACAAAGGCTGTAAGGAATGATACTCTCATAAGGAAACCTCTAAACAAAATACTATATTAGCAATTTTACAAAGGAAGTATACAGGGAGGAGCTGAGCAGCTATTAGGTTAGACACATGGTTAGTGCATTATCTAGAAGAGAAAATATATCTTTTGATAAAATACTTCTATTAAAATAGAAAATAGAAAATATATCTATTATGAGAAGAATAAGTCAGGTCAGATAATCAAAAACAGAAAAAAATCCGACTGAAACTCTAGCCAACTATTTATATTTTAATTTTGTTGCAAGAATCTGGAAGGTGAAACGAGAAAGCAAGCACTTGTTCACATTTCTATGAAAGCTGAGAAGGTACATCAGTGAGAAATGGAAAGTGATATATTTTTACTTCAGAAAAGGTCAACTCTTGAAGTAGCATTTTAATATATACACATAGTGTGTCAAAACATGAAAAAACAATTAGTACCTGTGAAAACTAAAAATAAACTGTAGATGAAGAAAACTAGAGTCTCTTAACTACCAACACCAAGAAGTTCCATAACAACAACAACAACAAAAAAGAATAAGAACTCATTCAGATTAAAGTCAAAGATAAATTCAAGATAAAATGGACGGAGAGAATGGAATTAAGGGGTGTAATACAACTGTTTTTTCTGCCCATTGCCATGTTCCCTCTGTGCCCCTAAGGAAGCCATGCACACCCTCTCTCCCTCCCACAGCAGCAGCTCGGGTGAGCTTAAGCTCTGAGACAGCCTGCATGCCTCGTCCCCCACTGCCTGACACATGTAGATCTCCAGGATCTTAAAAGAATATATGGACATGAATCACAATGATGGGTCGCAACTACTTTCACATTACTAAGTATCCATCATTCCTAGCAAATTCTGCAGTTGTGTTGTATCTAAAGCAGTTGCAGTCACAGCCCAGTTATAACATTAAAAAATTTTAGGTTGCATTTTGAAACCCAGTAAATACAAATTATTTTCAGGCTTTGGCTATTGTAGTTTGAACAAAGTTTTGACACTTTTAAACAAAGTGTCATACAGACAGTAATAAATGGCATGATTGAATAACTAAACAACCAAATAATTAAATTTTAATCCTGACAAAAATATATATTGTGCAGGTGAACTCACATGTATTACTTTTAGACTATTATGCAAATAACAAGAATAAATCAAAAAACACTTTATATTAAATCAATGCAATTTCTCTGTGTAGATAAACCCTCTGAAGTTGCAGTGAAGACAGAATGTGCAAAATGATTTCGTATTGTGGAGAAAGAGCAGGTGTGTCATATAGACTGCACACACATATTTTTGTAACTTGCTCTGGGTTTAAAAAAATATATTTTTTCCCATTATTTCCATTTGGATAGAAACTACAAGCTAAAATATATAGCAAACTATTCAACTATCATGGCAGTCTATTTTTATTGCTGACCTGCTAAAGGTGTATTTTTTCAGCAGTTTATGCCATTCAGTGAGAAAGGAAATAGCAAGAACCAGCATTCTTACAAAGTATTAACAAACATCCTTCTAAGACTGCACCAATACTTTCTGGGGAACATGAAAGTACCCTCTGTGAAATCACAGAAAAATCTCTGAAGTACAGCCAATTTGCAGAACTTGTGATACTTCTGTGAGTCAACAAAGCTTGGGAACAAAAGTCAGAATTATAACAGAAAGTGAGTCTCAACCCAAGAATGGAGAACCTGCTTCTCTCTAACAAATTGCTTGCAACTTTTCTGT